TGGATGGTGTGATCATTATTAGTACTTATAAAATATATAATTAGAACTAAACAATGTTATTGTTATATAAAGGCAGCCGTTTTTATAGAAGATTCTGACAATTTGGGAAGTTTTAGCGCCCAATGCGGGGGAACTTTGATCAGCTCTGACTCTATAATCACAGCATCTCATTGTGTAGTAGAGGGCGGCCGAGCCTTAGCCCCCAATCGGATTAAAATACGTTTAGGAGAACACAATATATACAGGAAGACCAAAGACGACGCCGAAGTTGATTATAATGTAATCAAAGTGACGGCTCATCCGGACTTTGAGCCCCAAACTTATAAAAATGATGTCGCGATCCTTCAATTGGCGCAAAAAGTATTCAATTACCCAATGATTTATATGAATTATATTTCAATTTAAACTAAATTAATGTTTTAATCATTAAACAAAAGGTTCGTTTCAATCGCCGGGTTTGGCCCATATGTCTGCCGTACGACACAAAAGTTCTGACATCAGAAGACAATATCGGAAGAAGTGGTCATATAATCGGTTGGGGAAAAGTGGAGTTCAATGGAAAGGCCAGCGAAGAATTACGCGAGGCTGACGTTACCATTATGTCCAGTAAAGAGTGCGGAAAGGCTTTCGATAGGATCGTCACGATTACCGACGAATACCTGTGCGCCGGAACTGTTGGCTCCACAAGAGATAGCTGTCAGGGAGACTCTGGCGGTCCTCTCATTCAAATCGATCCCCAGAATAGACGCTATTATTTGACAGGAATTGTCTCATTTGGGAAAAGGTTTGTCTTAATAAAACTTTATTAACTTTTCATATAATTAAGTTTTTGTGTTTTTGCACGTAAAGGTGTGCGACCCCTGGTTTTCCCGGTGTTTACGCCAAAGTCTCTCATTTCTTGCATTGGATCGCAAACAATATTTAATGCCATTGTTTTTCAATATTTTAATATTTATTATTTAACTTATTATTACTCGCGAAGAATATTATAATTTAGTTAATGTGAGAAAAGTTTATGGCTTTTAGAGTTAATATTGTTGAATACAAAATAACAATTGAATTATCCATAACTACCAGCTATTAAAAGATATTAAAGTACTAGTTATGGATATTTCGTCGAATGTAAAACTCAATGATTAAAACATTTTGAATCGATTTCGAGAAAACAAGTCTATTCTCTAAAAGAGATGATTGTTTAAATGTATTGTGCCTTTTGGTGCAGTATTCGTAATACAGTATTACAACACTTATACTATTTATAGATATAATTAGAAAATATTTAACATGTAATTGTGTGCTAGAAATAAGAAAATAATGTATTTTCAATCAATAATATCGAGTGAATGGCAGTGTTATTACCGAAATAGCAATTAAACGTAAATACTTTTTCCCCAATTCATGACAATAGACTTTAAATGCAATATAACTGTAAGAATAAACATACGAACAATACTTACAGTTTAATAATTATGAGTAAATTTACTCTAAGAAATCAATAAACCATTATTCGAGACATATTTTCAAACAAACTAATGTCTTATAAACAAATTACTTGATATTTATTGCTTTGCATTACAATCTAATAGTAATTAATGTTTTTTGAGACAAATATAATAATTTACGGCAATAAACATCAAATATAAGTTTTGCAAACATAATAAAACATTTTGAAAAATATAATTAAATATAAGATATATTATTACGTTATATTTCTTAAAATCTTAATTAGAATTTAAAATAAAATTTTGTTTAAATAAAACTGAATATAATTTGCATTTTATTGCCTCAAATTTAAATTTTATTTTTTAACATTAATATTCATTAATTGACGGAATAATACAAACCAAATGTTAATACAATTTGATATGAAAATAGTATGAATGGGAGAGGAATTTAGTTGTATTAATATTATTAAAAATTAATGATATTCTCAATCGTCTACACAAATATTTATCAATTCTTTATATATAAATATATGATTAATATTCTTATGACTTAATTATACAAATATATGCATAATATGCAGATAAGTCTCAATTATATGCAGTTCTCGTAAACATATTTAATAGCATTCAAACGAAATGCAAATTC